CGGGATGGGAGCGGCCATCCATTGCTCATGGGACAGTCCACAGGCTGCTCCCCTCTGCGGCCTGATCAGAAGGGGAGGGTACTTCAAAGCGGCAGCACCACCTGGAGCCAGATCCCCGGCTCCGTGCGCTTTGACACGCCGCCCGCCCGCAGCCTTGGCTTCAGGCTCCTCATGGCACTGTGGGGAGTCCAGCTGACCCCGGCTTCACCTGGTGCTTTCACCTTTGAAGTGTAGTAACAGCCCCTGGGGTACTGCTACACTTCACAGGCCCTATCGAGTAATGGAGTAGTCGATATAAATGCATCAACTATTGGATGAGTTAATTTGCCGATATTTAACTTCCTTTCCCCAAAATTTAGCCATCCATTCCAGGAGAGCCAATCCAGCTGGCCTACAACCATTGCATCAGGACTGCAACTAAACTTTCATCCCACCAAGCAAAGCAGAGCTCTGTTCTTCCTGGTCAGCTCTTAATTGGGTTAGGCAGTGTCTCAAACCCTTTCATTGCTAGTGGAGAGCTGGTCTGCCTCCTCAACCCCTTCATTGCCTGTGTGGGATCTCTCTGGCTCATACGGGGAGCTGTGGGTTTTTCATTCTCTTAGCCTTATTTAGGTAGGGGAAATTATTTGGGTGTAAAGCAGGGGTGAGCAATAATTGGGGTGTGTGTGGGGGGGAGCATTTCCTGTGAGTTGCTGGGCATCCCTGGTTCTTTTTTCACTTCAGTAGGATTTTAGGAAGGGCTCAACAATACTCAGGTGGCTTTGAGCTCCTTTCAGGAATGAACCTTGTCTTCTCTTTTAGGCTATGTCTACATTGCCTCTTTTTTGCAGAAGAGGCAATGCAAATTAAGTGCTCATTAGCAATTTATCATGCTTCATTTGCATAATCTCTGCCCATGGCTTTTTGCGCAAGAGATTTTTGTGCAAAAACTAGTAGATGGATCTATTTTGTGCAAAACCCCCCTTTTGCACAAGATTCTCAAAAAAGATGCCTTAAAAAAAGAGGTATACAGATCTTGCGCAAAAGGATTTTTTTTTGCACAAAACAGCACCGTCTACACTGCTTGTTTTTTGTACAAAAACCTCTTGCACAAAAAGCCTTCATTATGCAAATGAAGTGAGAGTTGCTAATGAGCGCTTCATTAGCATACTTTCTGCTGGCAAAAGAGGCAGTGTAGACATAGCCTTAGAGAAGATAATAGAAGCATTCATTTTGCACATGCATATAATACATGAGGACTATGCGAACAAAAACCTAAAACTGGGTATATCTGCTTAGATAAAAATGCTTTTATTTATTTTAGAATCCAGTAGACTATCTTGTAGCAAGTTTGTATTTAAAATTTACTAATTAGTCAACATTATTGCCACTTATGTATATTCTATTTTTGGTGACAAAATATCCAACAAAGTTCTCAGTAGAATGTCAGTTCAAACTTTGAAAACACTATGGATCATAATTTTCAGAAGGAAACCGTGCAAGAAAATTATAGCAAGGTGTATTTTGGATTTACTATTTACAAATATTTACAATACAGTACAAGACAATTAGGCTACGTCTAGACTGGCAAGCTTTTCCGCAAAAGCAGCTGCTTTTGCGGAAAAGCTTGCCAGTCTAGACGTAGCCTAATTGTCTTGTACTGTATTGTAAATATTTGTAAATAGTAAATCCAAAATACACCTTGCTATAATTTTCTTGCACGGTTTCCTTCTGAAAATTATGATCCATAGTGTTTTCAAAGTTTGAACTGACATTCTACTGAGAACTTTGTTGGATATTTTGTCACCAAAAATAGAATATACATAAGTGGCAATAATGTTGACTAATTAGTAAATTTTAAATACAAACTTGCTACAAGATAGTCTACTGGATTCTAAAATAAATAAAAGCATTTTTATCTAAGCAGATATACCCAGTTTTAGGTTTTTGTTCGCATAGTCCTGTATTTGGATGTATTTAGTGCACTTTGGTACATTTTAAAATGGTTTTTTTTCCTAACTGCACCAAGAAATACTTCTTGAAAAGTGTCTCCAACTCTTCATTATCTCTTTTTCCCTAAAATTTTCCATTGCATTGTACCAATAGTGCACTTCAGCCACTAATGGTCATAACAGTGCTAAAATAGACTGACCAACTACTGGTATCTAAAAACACACTGTTATCTAACTCTGCTCAGAACAGATCTTGACAAAAAATTCTAACAGCTGCCTGGGATTTGTGTGCTCTAGAACTAAAGGAAAAACTATGTAGCACTTTAAAGACTAACAAGATGGTTTAATAGCTTTTGTGGGCCAGACCCACTTCCTCAGATCATATTCTGGAAGAGAATGATGGGGTGATGGGTTTTTTTTTCAGGAGGAAGTTTGAAATCTGAAGATTGGAAATAATTCATAAGTTTGGGTTGCTATTGTGTAAATTGCTACAAATATGTCTCATGCTACATTTCTAAAAATCTCTGCTCTCATGCTACTACTAGGGTGAGAGAGTTCTGTGTTTATACTGGTTCTTTCTGAGAATCATAGGCAAAAGCTGTGACGTCAAATTAAATGTAATGGTTTGGTATTTCCATTATATTTATATTACACT